TACATCAAATATCTTCTTATACTACTCTCATCAAAGTTTATCTAGACACAGCAGAAAAGATAGCTGTAGAAAACAAAGAACACATAGTGTAAGATCTCTGCATCTAATCTCTGTATACTACAAACTAAAGATTAGAACTAGCAAAGCATAGCTGAGAATGGAGACAAGTTAAAACTAAATATATATTTATAAGATATTTTATAGAATTAAGATCTAACTAATTCTTTCACAAACTTAATAGATCTTAGTTATATTAGGGAGTGAATGCAAGCAGCATAAGAAGAAAACTCTCTGCATTGCTAACTACTATATAATGAAATACAAAGCTTGATGAGATGAAAGATGTTAGAGAATTCCCCAGCTATCTGAGATCATATGCATCTATGTATTTATTAGTAGTAGCTAGCATGCTTAGAGGTTACACAATGCAACAAGGTTAACAATAGTCCTCTAAAAGGTTATAAAACTCTTGAATTAGAGGTTTTTTGCTGTGAACAATGTGAGGAGAAGCTGTAAATGAATAGCTGCAAATGAACAGCTATGAACAAACAGCTACAAACAATGTGAGGAAAAATATAAACAATAATTAGACAACATTGATGATCAATCTACATTCAGATAGAACATCAGATTTGACAGAAGAATACATATCAAAAAGAAGATAAAATTGAGTATCTGAGAATAAAACTCTGGAGAATAGAACTTTAGAGCCTGCAAATTTGCTGCTTATATCTATTACAGTCTATAGAAGTGCCTCTGAAGTATTTGAAATAGACAAGACAATTCTGAAGAAATCAGCTAAGTCTATTAACATATATGAAGACCTGGTTGATGAAATGTCAGAAAATACAGTTGACTCTAGTAACCAGGTGTCAGAAGTTAGTGAAGAAACTCTAATAAGATTAGAAATTGCAAAACTTCAGTAAGAAGTTGAAATGATGAGAGCTAGCAGAGAGGCACTCACTATCAATACTAGCAGTAATAAAATGAGTGAAAATCTTACAAACTATCTACAGAGAAAAGGCAAAACTACTATCATAATAAAAATTTTTACTGAATTTAAAGATCAAATGAAGCATATCAAGAAATCTGTTATTTTGACTGATTTCATAAACTATTCAATGTGAAGAGAAGAGATGATACTGACTGCTAAGCAATCTAAAATCAATAATATCTTCAATAAGAAGTAATCTGCCTTGGAGAATAATGCTAGTATGAATATGCAATATTTTTAACCTGAAAGAAATATATAGCTCTATAATCATATATTGTCTTCAATCTCTCTGCAAGCAAAATCTCATTTTATGATATTCTCAAATCATCTCTCTGCAAGCAAAATCTCATTTTATGATATTCTCAGATCATTAGTTGTCAGTATATATTTTATAAACAATCATAGAAGAGAATTTCTCAGAGAGGTCTACAGTCTGTCACATCTATCTTTTTGAGAAACTGATTAGCTTAACAGTTAAGATGAAAGACTCAGATAGAGCTTTTATAGAATGTTTGATCATCATTCAGACTGAATATACTTGTTTGAGGTATAAGATTGAAGATTTTATTCTTTTTGACTGCTTGCTAACTGGTGTCAGTGCTGGATGAGCATCATTCATCAGAGATAGGATGAACCACGTCAAAAAAGATGTCAACGCCTGTGATATAGAGACAGACTTCATGGGACTATGTTGAGATATTCTATTGTATCTACCAGCCACTGAACAGAATACTGCTTTGACAAATACAAGAAATCTCACAAATAATACTCAAGATTCATAGAAAAAGAATAAGGGTAAGAATAGAGATTTGAGGACTAAAGACAAAGACAAAGATACGAAGGCCAAGTAGAATAGTGATAATATGAAAAAGATGTGCTATCACTATCAGAAGATAGAGCATTTTAAAGCTGACTATTAAACAAAATATTTAAAAAAACACTTTGTATATTATAAAGAGAAGAATAATTATAAGAACAAGAATAAAAATAAAGACAACAATACTTCAGTTCATAATGTTGTGAAGTAAGTATTCTTTGCAAAAGAGATGATTTATTTTAGTAATAAAGTAATAAAGAATATCTGAATTCTAAACTCTGAATCAGAAGCTCACATCACATCTCAAAAGAATATCATTGAGGTTATACCTCAGAAAATGAATGTCATATTGAAGATGACAGATAGATCTACAGTGCTAGTAGCAGATGTAAAGAGGGTGTGCATCTCAACTGAGAAATCAAGTACTGAACTGAATAACATCTGTTATGTTCTGAAGCTAGAGGTCAATCTAATGAGCCTTAAAAAACTTGTACACAAAGATTATACTTTCAAACAATTGATGTACAGCAATAATCATTCAATCTTGATGATATTTTATGATAGAATGACAGGCTTCAAAGCACATTTGAATGAAAAGAATGTCTATGTGGTGGAGAAATCACCAGCATTAAGAGATTTGATCTGTTTTGCAATGCTAAATGGCAATTTTGAACTTGCATATATCTTGCAATCAGATGATGATTTTATAATGAAGCTGCTCAAGAGTAACATCAAGACTTTGAAATATACTATGGCATAGTGGCATTAAAAGCTAAGTCAACTAAACTCAGTAGATATAATAAAAATGGCTGCAGATTCTAGACAAAGATGTGAATAAGAGATTAAAAGACATTGTCATTTCTCAAGATATATATATAAGTAAAGATAATCTATCTATTCTTTGCTTCAATGAGCAGAGCTATCAAAGCCGGCTTATAACGAATTTGTAGAGAAAATAGAATTGACAGAGATCTGATCTTATTGATAAGAATGATTGATTTTATACAGTTTTACAGCCTCTAAGAAGATGTAATAAGAATATAGATTAAAAGAATAATTGTATATTTTCTTTATAAAGTTACAGTATAAAAATATAATAGAGTTTTTTCTAATAGAAAAACTAGCATTTGATTTCTGTATTTAATTTTTATTGCAGATTTGAGAGCATTCAGCAGGTAAAGAATAAGGTAGAGCTCAGACTCATCATAGCATGAGAGAGTGTTAGAGAATTCCCTAGCTATCTGAAATCACATACATCTATATATTTATTGTTGGATATCTGAAATGATTATATTGATAGTCTATCTCAGAGATGCTATATATTACTTTGTGATGTGCTAGTCAATAATAGAAAGTTTAGACTTTAACATCTTTTCTTGAACTAGCTATTGTACAGACTAGCTATTATACAGACAAGCTACTGTCTTACTCAAATCAATCATATTCATCCATCATCTCTGTCAATCTATCTTGTCTTCCAATTGCTGTATCCATCAAATTCTTTTCTTATTTCACTCATAATCTGACTGACTTCTCAAAAGTTCTTCAATATTTGAAGAAGTTATTGTAAAGAATGCTTGATTTAACTGACTTACAAGTAGATTCTCTGTATTTCTATCTTTGCTCTTATCTCTATTCTTAGTCTTATTTTTATTTTTATTTTTTAATATTTCAATGTGCTTCTTATTATGCTTTTGTCATTCAGTATTTGTGAGATTTGAGTTCTTAAACTAGCAGTGTTTGATCATATGCTCTGTATTCTCACAGTAGTGATATTGACATTCATTGAATTATTCAGTGACAGCATTCACAGTAGATGAGTTGAGATGAGTTGTAGTGATAGTGACACAAGTAGTCAACTAATTCATCAATTCATCAAGATTCAGATTCTGAATAGAGCTCTGTTTGATGGCATAGAAATCATTCAACTTCATTCTAACAAATTTCTATTGCTAGTCTCTCAGTCCTAGTATGAATAGATCATGATAGATATTCTTAGCTCAATTTTCACCTAGAGATATAAGTTTTACCTTTAGATCTCAAAAAATTATAAGATAGATGTGAAAACTATTGCTTTTAAGCTATAAGTCTTTTAACTTCTTAATGATTTAAAGATATTCTTCTGCATAATATATAGTATAGTGCTGAATAAGATTCTTTCATATAATTGCTACTAGATAGAAATCTTCATTTAATGATTCTAGAAAATTGCATATAATTGCATTCAAAGATTAAAAGATTCTTATATAAAGAAGTTCATTTTTCTTATTTCAAAGCTCAATTTTTAGAGAAACTGTGATAGAAGATACTTTTTATTATTTGTTGAGAGCATTTTTTATCTGAATCAAATGAGCATCTGCAAGAATAGAGCTCTTTCATTTCAGATAGTTGACTTCAGTGAGAATGACTACATGCTTTTCTTTTAATTTGATCTTTGCATCTTTGTAAAATTCATCAACTTTATCTTTAATGAGATTCTTAGTAGTATTTAATAAGAAATCTGAGTTTTTCTCTAGTCTTTATATGAGTCTTTTTATCTGTCTATTTTGTCTTTTCATATATTTTATCATCATTCACCTTATATTCATATTGCTTTCATTCATATTTATTTCATCTCTTTGATCAGTTTCTCCCTTAGATTCAGAGATAGATGTATCATATTCATGTTTGTCTCTATTCATGTTGTTACTTGCAGAGGTGTTCAATGATCCTGCAGCTTATGTTCTTGAAGACATCTGTTTATCTCCTCTTATTTCAATCTTTTTCCTGCAATCAAAGCTTTCAAAATAATCACTTTTCATTAGATTCTTGTTGCAATTCAGTGATGCAGTCCCCATGAGATGTTTTATACCCCAGATTAAAGAAGAAGAAGAAATAGAGTGTGGAAGTAGTGTGAAAGGCTCTTCAAAAAGAAAAACAAGCTATCTGAGCCATAATCTATTGAACATCTGAAGTGGTTGTATTGGTAACCTATCTCAGAGATGCTATATACTATTGTGCGGTGCGCTAGTCCATAATAGGAAGCCTAGGCTCCAACAATTTATTAGTAGTAGCTAGCTCGCTTAGAGTCACACAATGCAACAAGGTTGATAACGGTCCTCTAAGAAAAGGGGGTGCTGGGGTGGATTATAACCACCTGCATGGTCGCGTGGTCACGTAATGTGGATTAGGCCTAATCGGGCACCGAGCTTAATCCGACGTCGAGTCTAACCGGCGGTCGGGCTCGTCAGACGCTGAGCCAGCCGGGCGCCGGGTCGAGTCTAACCAGGCGCCGGGCCCCCCTTTCATCCCATCAAGCTTAGTATTTCGTTATATAGCAGTTAGCAATGCAGAGAGTTTCCTTCTTATGCAGCTTGCATTCACTCCCTAATAATAGATACTTCATAAAGAAATACAATCATATTATAAAGTTACTATTTTAGCTAACTTAAAAAAATCAATTTTTTGAATAAAATATAATTTATCAAAATATCTTTGATTGAATAAAGAAAGCTCTATCTGATGCTTTAGTACTTTCTCATTATAATTTGAATCAAAATATCTGTATGAAGACTGAAATATTAAATAATATTATAATTGATATTCTGTCTTAATTATATGAGAATGAACAGTGATATTTTATAAGATTCTACTTGTCATTCATAAGCAGTACAGAGAGAAACTATGAGATTCTTAATAAAAAGATATTAGCAATAGTAAGAGCTTTATCATAGTATCATAAACTAAATTAAAAGAATTTTGAAATGAAGAAAAATTTAAAATTCTAATAAATCATTGAGTATTTGAGTATTTTATAACTATTAAAAATCTCAATATCAGATAAATATACTGAGCTAAGTTTCTTTTATAATTTTGATTTCTAATTCAATATCAATCTAAATATTAGAATATACTAGTAGATATTTTAAATAAATTAAAGATTAAAAAAAATTAATTTAAAAATAATTATTTTTTAAATCAAAAAGATTAAAATTAGAAATTATTAAAAAATCTATTAAAATTAAAACTTTAAATATAAATATAAAGATTCTAAATAATATCATGATAGAAAATAGAGAGATAAGATCATTAAGCTTATGATATGAGAAAACACAACAGAAAATAACTTTAAAAGCTGATAGATAAACTTTTATTTTTTTAAAACTTCTTAGTGATATTAATTGATATAGATTTTACTTTTCAAATATATTTTTTAAAGAAGATTTATAAATAGTTATCAATAGCATAATTTAAAAAGAGAAAGCTATATTTATTGATAAAGATAAGATACTACTTGTTAGGAAGTGAGTGTGAGCTGCATAAGAAGAAAACTCTCTGTGTTGCTAACTGCTATATAACAAAATACTAAGCTTGATGAGATGAAAGAGGTGCTGAGGCCTGCTTGGGTTATAACCACCTGCATGATTGTTTGATCATGTGAGAATATTTGACCTAATCAGACACTGAGCTTAATTTAACATTAAGTCTAACCAGGCACCAGGTCTCAGTCAGGCTCAGTCGGGCACTGAGCCTAACATCACCCCTCAGTCTAGGGACAGACATGTCCTCATGCTGGTAGGTCATCATCAACCTCATTCTTCAGATAGCTGTCTGTCTCCCATGCCTTCAGCCACTTATTTAGTCATCTTGAGAGTTCAACTTTTGTAGAATTAACTTCATGAAAGTCATGTATGATGTGTGGTGATTCTTTGAAGTTATAAGCTGAGTATCAAGATGAGTCCTCATCAAATTTCTTTCAGTGAACTTGATATTGCAGTTTGTCTTGATTTATTCAACTGACTAATATATGCTTCACTTCTCATTCATTTTCTTCATCTATCTCAATTGAATCTGATGGTTTGACAATCTGCTCTGATAGAGAATCTCTTGAATCTTTGTGCAGCTTGTCTGAAGAGAAGATTGAATAAATTTTCATGATTGTGAGAAGGTTCAGTCTATAGATGTTACTCACTCTCTCTAGAATTCTGAAGAGGTCTGTGTTCTGTGCTGTCAGCTTACAGCTTGATTGATCAATTCTGTATGATTTCAATGTCAAATAGACAAAATCTCTCACTGTGAAGTCAGATTCTCAGTGATGTCTGTCAATCTGCCTCTTCATCTGTTTCTGTGCTGTCTTCATGCTCTTGTCTGCTCACTTTCAGATTTCTTTCATCTGTTTAACAAAGTTTTGAGCAGCTCTTCAATTTGTTCTCTTCTTTGTCCTTAATTCCCTTGACAGAGACCTTCAGTCAAATGATGTTCATGACTCATATTCATTTGCAGCTAGAAAGAGAGAGATTTCAGTGAAGATGTTTGAGATGGCTGCAGAAGCATGATTTATAATGAGTAATCACTCATTTTAGTTATTTTGATAGTAATTAACATATGAGTGAAGATGTGTGACAATATACTGATTTGTTGCCTCTGTCTGCCCATCTGTCTGTGTGTGATGTACTGTTGAGAGTTTCAACTTTATGTCTAGAATTTCTGTGAACTCATCTCAGAAGTTTGATATGAACTGAGGGCTGTGGTCAGAGACAATCGAGTCTGGTGCCCCATTATAGAAATAGTAGAATCAGATGAATAATCAAGCCAGCTCACAGGCTGTAACTTCACAGATAGTAGGAACTGAAATTGCCTTCTTGCTTAACTGACAGACTATAACTAGAATGGCATCACAGTCACTTTTGCTCTTTGACACATTCATGAAGTTCATTGCAATATGCTGCCATGTCTGTTTTGATATTGATAGCAGCTTTAGCAGGTCAGAGGCTTTGTCCCTTGAGATCTTACTAACTCAGCATGTATGATAGTTCTGAACATAGCATAAGACATCTGCCCACCAGGTGGTTCATTAATAGTGAGGGTGAATCAGAGCCAGAGTCTTCTATCTCTCTGAATGTGCTGTTAAGATCTGATCATGAATTTTCTTTAGCAGAGCAGCTATAAGAGTTTCTTTCTGAACAGACACAATCAATCTTTCATGATAGAGCAACATATTATTCTTTATTGTATAGGGGCTATTCTTCTCTCCTACTTGCTGCTGCAGAGGCTCAATTGAGGTGACTGTCTTGTTTAAAGACACTATGTGTTCAGCAATGTTCTCTTTCTCTGAGAAGTTGATGCTAGCAATATTCATAGAGAAAGTGATCTGAGAGTCAAGAGTCTCTGATTCTAGAAGAATCTGCATATGACTGTTCTGTTGCTTCTTAATTTGCTCAGATCTGCTCAGTGTGTCTGCTAGCAGATTGACCTTACCTGGTCAATACTTAATCTCAAAATAGAAATGAAATAGAAATTCTGCTCAGTGAGTCTGACATGCATTCAGCTTCTTGATTGTCATGAAGTATTCCAGTGCATGATGATCAGTGAGAACTTTGAATCATTCTTTCTGTTGTAGTCTCTCAAGCTTAGCTCATCACTTCTGCAATGCTCAGATGACTGCAAGCATTTTCTTATCATGAATCTCATAGTTGAGCTCTGCATCATTCATTGACTTGAAGTAGAAGATCACAGAATGTCAAAGATTATCATTTAATCTTTGACTCAGTATCTCAGTCATCACTTCATCTGAGGCATCAGTCTCAATGTGGGTTTCACATCCAGAGTCAAAGTAATGTAGAGTTGGAGCCTCCATCAGCTGCTTCTTCAGTTTCTCAAAGACTGATTGACATTCTGATGTCCACATGAATGAAATTGTCTTCTTTGTCAACTGGTATAGTGATTTTGCAATTCAGCTATAGTTCCTTATAAATCACTGATAGAAGTTGTCAAATTCTAGAAATGATTGAACATCTTTTACTGCAATTGAAATCTGCCACTTTGTGATGACAGCAGTCTTCTCAGAGACTGTCTTGATTCTCTCTGTGATAATGATAAACCTCAGATATCTTGTTCTCTGAACAGCAAACTCACATTTCCAGATGCTAGCTTGCAAGTCTGCTGTCTTTAATCAGTTCAGTATTAGATTCACTTGCTACTTGTGTTCTTCAAGAGTCCTGCTGTAGATTAGAAGGTCATCCATGAATGCTGTCATGAACTTATCCAAATAGTCAAAGAAGATACTGTTGACAAATCATTGAAAGCAGGCAGAGGCATTTGTAAGGCTGAAGAGAATCATCTGGTATTTATAGATTCTGTAGTGGGTTCTAATGATGGTCAGATCCTTCAACTTAGAGTTCATTCAGATGCAATAAAACCTCTGCTGAATGTTCAGCTTTGTAAAGTATTTTGCTCTGTTGAGTCAGTCCATCAGCTCATCTATTAGAGGCAAGAGATACTAATCTCATTTGATTATAGCATTCAGCTTGCAAAAGTCAACACAGAATCATAGCTTCTTCCCACTATGAGCAATCAGAATTGAGAAGGTGTAGAGAGCTGAACTTGAAATGACAAAGTTCTTTGCTAGGTTGGTTTCAAGATAGGTCTTCACTGCTTCTAGTTTCTCCAGATTCATCTTATATAGAGGTGCATGTTCAATGTTCTGAATGAGATCAGTGTTAGACTGAAGCTCTATCTTAAAATCAACATTCTTCTGTAGGGGAGGTAATTCATCTGATGCTTTCTTTGAGAAACAGTTCTTTTGATCTTTCAATCATTCTGATAAGTTGCTGATCAGCTTCTCATCAGACTCCACCTCAGCTCTCACTAAACTCCACTTCTCCTCAAGCTGTTTATCAATTTCATATAGACTGATTATGAAGACTGTTGAGTTTTTGTTCTTCATATAACTGTGAAAAGAAGCAATCTCAATGAAGTTCATATTCATCATCTGTGATGCTGTCTTCTTCCAGATCAGTCTCTGTCTTGTCTTAGATGTCATGAATGAGCTGGTTCTTTTTAATCTGCAGAGCTGAGTCTGATGCTTCTGTCTGATCTTCTTGTTCAGTTTGATTTCTCTTCATTTCACATCTGTCTAATGCTCAGACTTAAGATCTGAATGCTTCAGTATTGATCAGAGCACTATCTTCAGCATCAGCTCCACCATCTGTTCAGAGATAGACTGTTCACTCAGTCAAATCAGATGTTGATTTTTAACATCAAGTCATATATCCTGTGCTGTCAATCACTTTCATCCCAGGATGACAGAGTACTAGCCTAGGTCTGTCATCAGCAGAGGAACATTTCAGAATCTCCAGCCATTCACTTAGAGGTTTAGAGTCAATGTGCAGTCTATCACCTCATCAAAGACATCATTGTATTTCTTTATGCAGCATTTGAATGAGAGTTTCTGAAACTTTCTATTGAAGAATCTTGTCAATTCTATAGCATATTGAGTATCAATAAAATTCACATCATTTGCTTCAGTATCAGTGAGAGAATTTGTAGAAGTAGCAATTTCATTGTGAGCTAACTTAATTGAGACATTAAAGCTCTTTCTCTCAATCAAGTCCTTCATCTCAAACCTCTCACAGACTATTGA